GAGAACCCCTAAATGAATAAGATACTGCATGAGGATAGTAAAGAACTTCTTCAGCTTGATGAGAAACTCCACCCGAGCAACTTCTCAAAGTAAGTGGGTGTGAGTGACTGACTGGACACAGGAAGAGGCGAGCTGTATCCAGTCGTCCATGCAATGGTTAGGCTGAAAATCGAGTGAGTGAAGATGACATGCAAAAGAGCATAACACTTGACAAAATATATATATGGAGATGAAGAAAGACCAAATGGCAGCTCCCAGAACTGGAAGACAGAACCCTCATGAAAGAACCAAAAAAACTGACGTGACACTGGTGCAATTGGAATATGAAGATAAGCATCTGTCACATCAAAGTTGGTCATCCAAAGTCCCAGGGAAAAGCCCACTGAAGTGAGAGGTAGGACTCCATGGTGAAGTGAGGTGTCTCCAAATAGGTATATAGCTGGGACAGATCTATGATGGGTCTGCATGCTCAAAACTCTAAATGCAAATTTAAGCTAAAATAACTTAGATGGTAAAAAAAATTATAAAAATCTAACTTATCAAATACTGAGCAGAGAAGACATGAAAGACCTAAATTACTGACTGCAGAAATTAAGTCTATCCACACAAGCATACATAAACTTGCTAAACATAGGTATATCTACTGGGAGTGAGGAATACACACTGAAAAACTTACCACAGATCTCCTTTGAAGAAGAATAATACCTTACTCAGAAGATTACTTAGAGGCATGGTAACAGGTGGAAACTGCAATGGAAAGAAATTTCTACATAGTAGTTATATCAGTCTTCATAAAAAATTGTAACGCGAAAGGAAGATATCATTGCCCGAATTAAAACACAAACTCTCAACAAACTAAAGCCTGTGTTTTCCCAGCAGACATCATCAACCCCAATACCTGGGGACTTGTGTTAGAACTATTGTCTACAACGTAGCAATTTTATCATCCACCATATGAAATCTCGAATTCATATGAACAAATTAGAAAACAGAAATATTTCTAAAACAAATGAGTACAAACAATGGATATCAAATACAAGAAGTCGAAACCTGAAGTTGATACTAATATATGTTTGTAATCAAGCACAATCAAAATTTTGTAGACACATGGAGAACGAGTTAAAACATATGTCAATACACTAGGACGCCAATCAAGAAAGTGAGGATTGTGCTAGAATAGTAGAGGGAGACAGCTGCACTAGCTTAGAAGGTAGTCACATGATCAGCAAATGTTCTGACATGGCATGTAAATAAAGGGGTATAAAAGACTGGTTCGCTGTTTGCGAAGTTTTTAGCTATGCTTAGAGGGCAAACCAGGATCGAGATAGCTTTGGCTGATATAAATTTGTAATCAAGCACAATTAAAATTTTGTAGTCACATGGATAATGAGTTAAAACATATGTCTGTACACTAGAATTCCAATCGAGAAAGTGAGGATGGTGCTAGAATAGTAAAGGGAGATCGCTGCACTAGTATAGATGATGCAGTATGATTGATGGAGGGTAGTCACATGATCAGCAAATGTTCTGAAATGGCATATAAATAAAGGAGTATAAAAGACTAGTTCACTGTTAGCGAAAAGTTTTTTAGCAATGCTTAGAGGGCAAACCAGGATCGAGATAGCTTTGGGTGAAAGGAGGTAGTGCCATTTCAGAATTTTGGCTTTCTTTGTACTGATGATAAAATACAGAGAAAACTATGAGGCACTTAACCATACTAGTGTTTTTCAACACTGCAAGCCACTGAAGATAGTATAATGCTGAGAAAATTCTTACAGCAAGTGTTGGCTCCATTGATTCCTTTAGAAAGAGCCCAGTGAATAATATCAAGATTGTATCTGAATGTTGTTGCTGACCATGTTCAGCACAAAATGATGCAGTTCAATCCTTATGATCAAATGCTCTTCAAAAACAATACTGCAACAACTCATCATGCATGAACTGTTGAAAATTGGTTTGAAGATCATGATATAGGCTTCAGTCAATCCCTTGGGCCAATGCTAATTATTAGATCTAGAACTGAATGAAAATATTTGAGATGAACTTAAATTACAATTACCATAATAATTCTCTGCCAACATCTGTGAAGCAATTGCAGACAATGAGCTATAATCGAATAAGACACCTCAAGTCATACTGAGGATTGTACGCCACAATAAGTCCAGGCTATTATCAAGGGAAAAAGTGGTCCAACCTGATGTTAGTCAGGGAGCCCTGGTAAAGTGACTAGTTAACTTATGAATAGGTAGGTATTATTTTCTGATAGTATAAATTTATCAAATATTTAATATTTGAGCTATTTCTTATATACTTAATTTTCAGAGTAATTCTTTGAGAATGATGTTAAAAATAAAGCCTTTAGCAAGACTAACAGGTTTGCAAAGCTTACTTTCTGTTATATGCAAGAAAAATTATTTCAGTGTATTAAAATAAGGGGTTGTAGAGCTTTCTCAATATTATCAAGTACAAACATTTGTGGTGCATCATATATTTCCAAAGGAGATCAGAATAGAAAAAATTTGTCATCAATAGAATAGTTTATCCTCAACTATTAGGTTAGGATTTTGAAGTATTGATAAATATAGTATGTTTTATGTTTGTGTTTTGTGATTATGTTTTTTTAAAGAAAAACCAAACTTAATTAATGGTGACCTTGACCTTTAACACTTTAACCACAAAATTAATAGGGTTCATCTCCAGTTGCAAGAGAAGTGAACTATGAAAGTTTGTCAAAATCTGCTATTTAAAACTCTAATAATGGTGATTTCGACCTTTTAACCCTAAAATTAATAGAGTTCTTCCTTATCTATAAAGGAAGTGATTTGTTTATGGCTATAGTTATCATTTGGAAAGTAGATGTCTACATTTGGTATGATGGACAATGTCATTCGAAAATCTTTCCAAACCTTTTTGACTGGGGGAAAAAAAAAAAGGAGAACATTGGAAGAATAAGTCATATTCACTACTTCTGAAATTACAGCATTGTTTATATAAAGTAGTTTCTGCTTTTAAGAAATATTTTTCATAATCCACATACACCTGAATGAAATACTTATTAGTTTGTTGAAACCTTTATCCTTTATAATTCACATCTCCTTACATTACTCAGTAGCTTACAAAACGTCCTTTCCAAGTCACATCTCTAAGAAATACTTAGTATTTTTACAAAACAATTATAATCATCCACAGTTTTCTGAAATATTTACCCTCTTTAATTAGCATTTCGACATACTCACTAGTTCTAGAACCCACAAAACATTTTTAGCTGTTTCACTTTTATTGGAAAATGAGTGAATATTTTGAAATTAAACTTTTTCATACAGATAGCTTGTTTACAAGAAAAATATTACTAAGTAACCATACAAAACAAATGTCCCATTTTTTCAGTTTTCATTTAACACTGTAAAAGAAATGTTAAAAATAATAATATTACTATTTCACTTTAGCAGAATATGTTAGTGAAACTAATCACACAATTCAATGGGAAAAAATTGGTATTTTATCACAACCTGGAAATGTAACTGGTATGAATATATGTGAATCTATCAAGATAATTAAATGTAAAAAAAGTAAATTTAAATTATTGAATAAAGATGATGGACCTGATGTAAATGTTGTCAGTAGATGGTGTGAAATTCTTTAATATGTAAATTTGTGTTTTGATAACTGTATAAATGTTATTTTTTGCAAAACATTACACTCCTGAGGATGACGCAAGGGTATACGTCGAAACATGTAGAGTGTATGAGATTTTTTTCCAGTTTCATCGGTTTTTTTTTACCACTTTTCAACCTTGTAGAGTAAGTTATTGTATTTTAGTAATTTGGAGACTGGAAACAATCTCATTTTTATTGAATTGTGTACAAAATAATCGTTTTTTTAAAACATTTTTAGTTTTTAAGATTGAACATCACACACGTGCCAAAAAAATGTTGAAAAAAAAATTATTATCTGTTTCGTTTGAGACACAAATGTTCATTAATTTACCAATGGACCTCGCTGATGTGTTTGGATGAATACATTGATCCAAGAATAAAATTCTTTTTAACCAATCTAAAGGTTAGTTAGAATGCCAAATAAATTACAGTAATTTTTGTACAATCAAATATAATGAGTGGTATGCTTTTGGTTTTCTAAAATTCATATCTGAAAGCTACATTAATTATTTCTTGAACAACCAACACAGTTAGAAAAAAGAAGGCTTATGAAAGCAGGAACTGTGCTGAAAATTGGCCTAGATTGAACATAGATTCTAAATTCTTTTAATGTATGTTTTATTCATTTATTATTATATATTTTTTAACTGAAATAACTTAAATGATAAAGTTTTACTTGACTCAAGTGACACAAGAGGAACATACATAGTTAAAAATATCACTTGATTTAACATAAAATTATATTTACTCTAAACTCTCCAAACTCCCTCTGGGTGACTCATTGCCTGTCACAGTAGTTTAGTTATGCACAGTTTGAACAGCAATAAATTTAAATGAAAGCAGTTGTGAAAAGATAAGTAAACTAAAATTCTGAAGATTAAAAAAACTAAATATCTGCTACAATATAGTCATTCTGGAAAAAGTATTTATGATTATATTTTATGTTTTTCAACTTTTGCTCCAGTTAGCATTAGGGTAGAAAAAACAGGAGATAAAGTATAAAGTTTTAGGGGAAAACAGCTTTGGGCATTCAGTTAGGAAGTTCTAGAGGTTATGTAAGTGGAATATGAAACTGTACAATAATAACAGTATTTTTATTCTCAACAAAAAAATCGCCTTGCACTCAAACTAGTAAGAGTCGCAGACAGACTCACTGAATGCACAGATAAAACTTTAATACAAATAATTTATTAAAATTCCTAATTTTTTGTGTACAACATACTTGTAAATTCAGAATTATAGTAAACATTATCATGCTTAACTTCACAGATATGATGGTTGGTGCAATGCAGCAACACCATTCATATAAGGATAAATACAAAAATTACCATTAACTGTTTTTACCTGAACATCTAGTAATGTTGAATGTTTCTCTTCTAACTGTTTTTGTAACTCAGCAATTACTTGATGATGAGATTTTACCATATGGCTTCCCCTTCCTGCACCAGAGGTGCCATTGCTTTCTGTATAAGAGGATGGCAGAGATTCATCAATATAGAAATCAGCTGTCAGAAAATCATGAGACACGAAATTTGAATTTGACAATGGAAAATCTCTTAAAGTTTTTTTAATATCCCCATCACTATGAGCTTTTCTAATTCCTAGTTTTTCTGTCAGAACTTTCTTATGCTCTGAATCTGCAGCTCGATGTTGGTGAAAACATTGCTTAAAGATCACTGGTTTTGGAAAGAATTCTGATTCCTCCTTTGAACCAAAGGGCTCAAACCCTTCTCCACTGTATTCCTTCCAGTCTCTGTGAGAAATTCCTGGTACTTCCATTGAAGTTACAGGTATTTTCTTAACACAACTACACTGCTCCTTTTCAGTAATTTGTTCTCTTAATGTATATTCTGCTGTCTGTTGTACATGACTAAAATCTCTGGCTGCTAAATCCTCCTCATCAGAAGTTGTGAGCATTTTTGACCTTGCAATCACTCTTGAGTCAAAAGCCCTATGTGTTGTGTTTTGCTGCTCATTACTCAAGAATCTGTACTCTGTAAATTCTGAGAGTTTTTGCACTGTAGCAATATGTTTTTCTGTATTTTCAGAAAGAGATATAAAGTTTTCTACAAACTCTGGAAGTTTCTTTTTCAGTTCCTCTACATCTTCTTCAAATATGCTTGGAAGCTCTTGGTCAAATGGTTCAGGCCTGTTGATCTACCAGATTATAATATAAATGGGTTTATTTTGAAATAAGATAGTACCATGAATAACTACAAAGTAATATCAAAGATCAAAAATACAAAAACAAAAAGATATTAAAATACTCAAATGATCAACATTGTTTTGTACACAATTAAAGTCTTTATTCTACGAATGGTCAATGGTCTCAAAAGGCACTCTACATGTTTCAACTTCAACATACATCATCCTCAGGAGTGTAAAAAACAAATGTTGTGCAAGCATATAAATACAAAAATCCATACTCATGTAACTACTTAGTTTACATACTTAAAAACAACCAGGGCTTTTTGTATTTATATGGTTGTGCAATATTTGTATTTCACACTCCTGAAGATGACGTGAATCTATGTCAAAACATGTAATGTGCCTTTTAAGACCATTGCTCTGTCTTAGAATAAAGATTTTAACTGTGTACCAAACAGTGTTGATCATTTGAGTATTTTAAAACATTTTTCACATTTACACAAGTCTCTTGAATTTAACCCTTTAATACCAAAACACTTTCATAGAGTAATTTTTAATCATCACCTGATAAACAAATTATTTAAAAAAAATATACAAGTCTTTTGTTTATGTAACCTCTTTAGGAATAGTAAAATGGGAAACAAAAGTTCAAAAATAGAAAGAAACTACTTTTTTTAAAATGAAAATTAGTCTTTAGAGGTAGCATGAGGTACTTATGGTCCAAAAAAATATATGAGAAAGAAATTTTTGAAACACTATAATAAAACAGAAAAAATTGTTGAGCTGAATTATCAAAACATAAAAAAAATCAGACTTTAAAATTACTTAAAAGTCTAAAAGTAGTAAAGCAAATAGATGTACATATAAATTTCATGTAATACTTGTGAACCAAAATCTACACAACAGAAATTCTTTTCAAATAATTCAATCCTCCATATTTACTTAATTTCCATAACAATATCAACTTTATATAGAAAATCTATTAACTTGTTAACTAAAACTATCATGAATAAATAACAGTATCTGCCTAGATCATGGTATAATACAATTATAATGTGTAATTCTTCATCCACCAGTATTATTTTCAAAATAAAATCATTCTACTAATATGAGCTGGACTAAGTCTAAAGCAGCAACTTGATCTAATACTACCAGAATATGTACTTGCTACTAAAAATCTTGGAAGGTAGATAAATCATAAAGCAAATATTCCAGAAACCTGAGTGCTTTCATATGGTCTACCTTCTGAAAAAAATGCCCAAGTTATCCAATTTCTTGTACTGAAAGACTACTAAGCAAATATTTCATTCACAATAATAAAAAATTTATAAGAAAAGCCTTATACAGTACAAATGTGACAAAATATTCTATGCCAACAAAAAATCACTAGCTCATCAACAATTTTTGAGACACTAGGAACTACAAAGGAATAAGGGCAAATTAGAGTTTTATTACACAACCGTGAAGTTAAGAATCATATCACTTATGCTTTTCACATAACACAAATCTTTTTGCAAATGTTCTATGTTAAAAATAAAAACAGACAAAGCTCACAATCTAACAAAAAGATTGGATAATTTGAAAAATTGTGAAATCATTGAGAAACATTCAAACATCTTGTAGCTCATGCATAATTTTAAAATGAATAATTAAACACTTCTATTTGTAACTACAGTAATGAAGCAATTATTAAAATACAGAAATCAGCATGCCAAATGAATTTAGCTTAACAAAATATTAATACATTTTCTGAACCAAATCTACTCACAGCAAATGGAGGTGGAAGATCTTCCATACCAGGAAAAAGTGACTGAAGAAAGTGATTAGCAATCTTTTCATTGAAAGCTTTTCTAGTTGTCACTTCCACCTCATATTCATGCACAGAATGCTCTGATAAACTATTTGCCCACTGAAATTTTAGAAGAAATAGTCAAATTTACATATTTATACACTTGTGTCAAAGTTAAAATTTTCCTTACCTGAAAATGTATTTCAGATTCATACTTACTCTCTGCATCACTAAGAGCTATTACTTCATAGGTAACCGCTGTGGAATTTCCTGCACATGTTACAAGCCTTGAACAAACTCTCACCCCCTACAAGTGTCCACGTGTACTGCATCAGCTTATGACATAACTGTCATAATACTGCAGTATTCCACCAATAGGAGGGTGACATGACCTCCATTTATGGTAATCCCTGTGAGAACAAGCCTACGATCATAGGCTCATTCTTGATGTTACTGAAAATGTTACTGAATTGGGAAGAAAGAGTGGAAATGTGGTACAAAGAGATAAGTATTTATCTAAAAACTATTTTCAGATAAGATAAATGTTAACTTAATGAATGTTATTTACCTGTCTGCACCACTAAGAGTTAGAATCCCGCACAGAAAATGGTAGAGTGACAAATAATCAGTTACAAAGGTAAGCTTTTTTCTGAAATAACAACAGAAAAGGAAAGCCAATGGGGTATGATTTCCAGAAAACTGGAGCAGCCCCTTTATAAGAAACTGCATCCTTCTCAAGCAGAGAATACTCTTCACCCATCTTGCTGTTATTTATCCATTCACACACACACACACATACATACATACACACTATATATATATATATATATATATTACAAAAATAAAGGATATTGGGTAAATTCAGTGTCAGTGATAATGATAGGTGGGTGAAACATGAGTGTGTGTAGAGTGGCTAGGTTGTTAGGCTATTCTGTCTTGAAGAAATACTAACATGAGATAAATATTGTAATGAAAGGTGGAGGAAGGAGGAGATCACACATGCATCCCGAGACAAATCCAAGTCCCATCCATTTATCTACTGGGAACTGCTTGGGAGATGTTGTAATGGGCGTTGGGTGCCCTGTACTACATTTCCAGGGAACACCTCAGCTCTACATCTCAAACCATCTCTTACCAAGCAGAAGGAACCACTCCCAGAAGAAACTCTACATCCTCAGAAGCTATGAACATGGGAAATAATAGTTTTCCATGCTACACTAGAAGAATGTGAGGGGGGGATAAGCAATGAGGAGAACATCTCAAATTAGGTCCACACCAAAAGACAGTTCAATGATTAACTATGCCTAAAAACATTAAGCGAGAGACAGATGTAAGATGGTGCTGTCTGTTTTTGGAATAGTTGGAGAAAAATGCCTGAAAAGCAATGTCTGGGCCTCAGGACTTTTTTTTGTTTTTATTTTTATTCATTTGTTTATTTTTATATTTGTTTATCATTATATTTATCTATTTATATATATATATATGTGTGTGTATGTGTATGGAATATGTGGTTGAAAGTACTCTAAAGTAGAGATGTGGTTGCTAGGGTAAATGAACCAGATGGAAGGAACAAGAGTGTAACAAGGACAAAAGCAATGTAATGCTAAAAAAAAGAAAGGCAGTTGAAACCAAAGGAAAAAAAACAAGTCTGAACAAAGGCAGTGCCTATGAAAGAATGAGTCAATGGTAATGTTCTAGTGCTCATGGGTAATACTGGGCATGGAGGTTGTATCACCCTTCTAATGATGAAAAGCAACAGCATTATGACAATTACACCACAGGCTTGTGGAATAACCACAGACTCATATAGGGTTCAAGGCATGCTCAGGAAATTCTATAGCAAGGTATTAGCTTTAATTGTGCAGAGAAATAAATAACTTTTCAGAATTTACATTTCTAAAAATTACAATAAATCATAAGTTCTATAAATCAAACTCTTATTAATAAAACTCCATAAAAAATGGAAAAGACGAAAATATAGGTAGAATTAAGAAAAACTTCCAAAGATTTTTTGGATTTATTTACCAATCAAGACACACGGTAGTGTGTCATACAGCTAAACCACCCTCATGCTCCAAGTTGAACAAAAAATGCAGTCTAGCTAACTAATGAATGAATATTTGCTGTAAAATTCTTATCAATGCTATAAGCATAGCCACCAGTTTGACTGCCAATTTTGATTTCATTACTTTAAGTCGCACACTCAATCCTTTTTTGGCCACACCTAAGGTGTTTTTGATTAGATTTTAATTGCAAGAATGATTCATTTTCAGAAAAGACAGAATTGCAAGATTTTCATATAAAAAATCATTATATCACTCCTTATGTTTTCAGCTTAAATAGTACTTACCTAAAACGTGTATTACAATAATTAAAAATTAAAAAAATTTCAATTTTATGTGTATTAGAATAAACTGTTAATTCAAAAACAGTTGTCATGCTAGGTATTATATATTATATTACAACTAATTTCTGATTATATATACATATTACCATGTATTTTTTGGCACCAATGAGCCCATGTCAAAAACCAAAGACTATTCTTTAAAAATATATACCCAAGTATATTAAATAAATAAATATATTTCACCTGCATGAAAGCAGTAGAAAACTCTCTTCTCCTAACTACTTCTACAACAGCAGCAATATAAACTTGAGGAGTAAGATGAATCTGTTCTACAACATCTAGGTGACATTTCAATCTTTTCAAATGTTCATGATATATAGAGAGCTTATTGTCTAAATCAGAGATTTTTCCTTCAACATACATTATCCACCTGAAAGAAAGTAAAAATAAAAGTAAACACTGCCAGAATTCTGTATAAATTGTAAATGAAATTAGGTAATCAATTTCAGCTTAACCCTTTTGGTATGGGTACCCTTTACTGCACATGACACAAAGTTTTAGTATCTTACATTCAAAATTTTATTAAACTACTTTTTGTTTATGTTATACCAATTAGAATAGAATAAAATCTTGGCTAACAATCCATATTTTAATAGTATACAAGTTTTAAGTTCTTAATTCTAAAAGGAAATATACAAAAAAATCCTGAATTTCCACTAGTGTAACACACGAAAAATTTTGCCTTAGCATGTCATCATCTCTATTTTATCAACCACCCCTCGAAAATGTATGAAATTAAACGTAAAAAGTTCTCTATAAAATCATTACTGCTCAAACAGACCATAATTCTTATGGCCTTCAATTTTGTTTTGTTACAGAGCTATCAAAGAGAAAATCAGACCCCTCCTGCCACATCCTCTCTTTCACAATTGGTTGATAGTTCTCTCTTATGTTCCAGATTTTGTTAAACAAGACCGATGTCTGTAGGTTTACTTTCTTCTTAGAATTCTTCTCAAGAAGTCGATAAGCCGTCTTAACGTTGTTAGAACAACGGGTAAAAGTTGTAGATAAGTGATGAGTTGGCCGACGCGTTTCGAATGCGTTCTGCATCCATGATCAAGGCTGAATGTTGTGTAAATTGTGATTACTGTTGGTGGATATTTATAGGTATGGGTAAGCAGGTGGTGGTATCTAGCTCGTGGAAGGTGTTAATTGGTGGAGTGTTGTATTGTGGCTTGGGGGTTTCTCGCCAAGAAGTAGCAGTGTGCGTGCTGTTCCTGTCAATTGTTTGTTGATTACGGGAGGTTGCTGTAGGATTTTTATTGCTCGTGTATTTGAAGAGTTGTGAAGTCATTAAATCGGCGGTTTACTTTGGTGTTTTGTACTAGGTCCTGACGTGCGAGTTTTTGGTTGTGGATGCGGGCACAATCTTCTTTGATGGCTCCATTTTGTAGGTGCATTGTTAGGCGTCTTGACAGGGTTGTGGTAGTCATTCCGATGTAGGAGGCGTTTGCCTACAAGAAAATCTGTCACCAAAGTACACCAACATTCTTATGTTTCATTATATATTATTTATAACCAATAGAAAGTCAAGGTTTTCATCTATCAAATGGTGTATTGTATAACATTGTGTTTTGAACAGATAACCATCAATGTCACTCTGAGTAGCAACATCGTTCCCGTGCAAAAGTTAACGACTAGCTTCGATGAATTTCTAACGGCTCTTGTCGCATAGTTAGAAATACAGGAAAATTTTTAGAAGTGAATTTGTCTATTTTTGCATGTTATTAGTCTATATTCTTTGGCGTATTATTTAATTAAATAAAAATTGTTAAATGCTTTACTATAATCACTAAAAAAAAAATCATGCTTAACTCTCATCGACAATCAAGGGCAAGAAAAAAGAAAATTGGGTAAATACTTTATTTCTTGTTTTTCATATTTATTCTTTATTTATTACTATAAAAGTAACTAAAATTAAAAGTACGGATCTCTTTAAGTTATTTACCCGAATGATTTACAACTTGTGATGGCATGGATAGCAGTTAGACATGGTTCAAAAACAAAACAATAAAATTTAATTATAAATAGATGTATAATATTACGAACTTAGAGCTACTTGACATGAGCTGCATGTTACCACGAGTGATTTACAACTTGTGATGGCGTGGATAGCAGTTAGACACAGTTCTAAAATAAAACAATAAAATTTAATTATAAATAGATGTATAATATTACAAACTTAGAGCTACTTAGGATAAATGAATGTAGTTTCATGTTACAATTTGAAGTCTACTAGAAAAAAAGAAGGTTAATTTAGGTTTATTTAGATTTTTTTTGGGTGGTTACGAGGTCAGTCGATTTGACTGATCCCATTTTGAGATTAGGGTAGAGAAAATAACATATAAACTAAGGATTTAGTGAAAAAAAAACATTTGAAACGCATTTAGGAGGTTTTATGGATTACACAAAGGAAATTTGAGATGGCAAAAAGTATTTTTAATTTTAACATGAAAATTATTTTGTACATGGTCTATTCAAAACAAATACTCAATATATTCATGGACAAAACTTTATTTTATTCTATTAAAAATACTTCACTAAGAAATATGACTTTTTTTTTTTATGTGAAAGACTTGTAATATTAACTGAAAGACTGCCAAATTTTGTGAAGATATACCCAATATATAGAGAGTTATAAGTATTAAATCTATGTCAACTTTAAACGAGTACAGAAGGTCACGTGACTCAGTCATATCGGAAGAGTTAAATACCCAAATTAAAACCTTGACCAAAAAATATGACTGTATGTCATCATGATCATGATAAAAAACCAACATCATAAACTTTCTCTCCCTCCATCCATCATTTAACTCACTCCCTCTCTCTTTTTATCTACCTATCTCTCTCCATTTCTATCTATTTCTGTCTATATGAGAGTTGAGATAAGTTTACAATAATATTTCCACTCATTATAATCATAAAAAAGGGTAATATATACTAATGACATAGTTAAAAACTATAAACATTAACAAATATTTATAATTATCACTTAAAAATAAAAAAACAGCAGCATGGAACTAAAACAGATTTAATAAATAATTTTTTCTGAAATCACAAACATCCATGCCTAAAATGTAAAAAAAATTAACTTATAAAATTTAAAATTTATTTTTATATAAATATGTAATATTATGTCTAAATGCCAAACATTATATTCCTCATTTTCATGACTCATCATTTGATACCAAACTTAAAACATCTATTAAAACGTTACAAACAAAAAGTAAAAATAAATATTTTTAACACATGATAGTAGCAAGTGTTAAACAGGAGGTGCACAAAAAGAAAACAGAAAATTTTGATAAAGAAAATGAGTATTGATTAATTTCACTGATACTGAAAAATAAATTTTAGAAATTCCTTATAACATGTCCATTATGATGAAAATTACTTTTTTACCACTTCAGTTTAACTTACAAAATAGAAAGTCTCAAAACAGCCATAAAAAAAAAGATGAGGAAAAATTAAAGATCTTAAAAAATCCGAAACAATTAAACATACTTTGTCTATTAATACAAATTCATAATTATGTTCATGCTAAAACAAATACAATTCACTATTATTTCTAATTAATTTATTCCAAATCTAATGATAATTTAATTAAGTATTTTGACACTAAGTTATAGGTCAACTTGTCAGAATGTGCTATTTTATATCTTAAAAAACATAGAAGATTGGTCTTGTATCTAAAAAGAAAACTTAAATATATCTGTGTGTAATTAATGCTTCAAATTATTTTTAAATAATCTATTTAAGTAAATTAAACTAATAAATTAGACTATACCCAAGTCGTATGTGTAAATTTGAAGAGAGTTCTTTCTTTGCATCCATACATCGTTGCAAAATCCCTTCTAACTGCACATGGTTTTTTAGCATTAACTGAAGCTGTTTACTGTGGCATGTACACAAATCTGGTAAAATAGAAGTATCTCCAATATTACTCGCTCTTGTTTGATTCTGCACAAATGCCTAAAAATTTCAAGAAAATGAGTAAGCAAAAATCACATTCCAATTGTCAGATACATTTTGCATTATTTTTTCACTATTTAAAAACAAATTCTGATCCTTTCTTTTAACTTTCAAAGTCTTTACAATTTTCTTTAACTTTATTATATGATTTAAATTTCAAATTTTCTAGTATCCTGAAAAATCCATATGAATGTTTGCTCAATAACAGTATAATTCACTGTCAAACTATTTTGTAAAAAAGTTATGATAGAGCTAATAACTACATGACTTCATTTGAGTAAAATTATTCTTAATTTGTTTTAAAATAAAATTTTATAATTACCTAAGCCATGCTTATAGCCCAGTATATATAGCAAGTTCTAAACTAATCTGGTAAATCTTGAATGAAAATGTTTCATAAGTATGTATAATTGTGAATACTAATTTGTTTTTTATTATAAAAAAAAATCTAAACAATCAAGAAAAATGCACAATTCTACAAATTAACCACCAAATGAATTTTTTTTCAAGTACAAATTTCTTCAAAGATTATATTATCATGCTAGTACTTGTAATAATGGAATTACAATGCCTTATATGAAAAGTAAAACTAAAATCCAATATATACTTCCCCTCCTTCCCCCCAAAAAAGGTAGTTAGCTCAGAAAGGAAAGTGCTACATGCATAAAGCACAACTAAAATCCATTAAGGAGCCCTCCCATAATTCCATCTTCTGCTTTATGGCCAAAATATTTATCAGAAACCATCAAACTAATATGTTAAATAGTTCATGACATCATATCAAACAAACACCCACAACTGATAGAACTAATTTTGACTGTATAAACTTTGAAACATACCTGGGCCAAGTCATTCTGTTCTCTTACAATTCGTTGCGCCTCAAACATCAACTTCTCTAGTCCATACAAGCGAGCTTCTAGACCTTTAACTTCTTTCATATCAGCATTGTCTAACTTTTCTAAAGTGTCAGCTATTTCACCACATAATACATGTAGTGTGCTCCCACTAAACTGGATATGAAACATGAATTAGTAAAGAATTCATAATATCTTTAAATACAGAATACAATCAAATTCACAAATAAATATAATATTATTTGTTAATGAAGTATATTAATTATTCTTATTTATTCAATACTGTTTATTTTATTATTGTTTAATATTATTTCAGTTGCAATTCATTCATTTCATTTTAGCAGCATGAGCATCACTTTTGCTCAAGTTCAAAATAAAATAATGACCAACTTTTTGTAACTCAACAAGCTGCCAGTTTGACTGAAATGAATAGTGAAATGATGTTGCCAATTTTTTAACTACCTGATCCCTATACATACTGCTTGTCTGGAGAATTGAGACTTTCATCACACACTTAAATTACTGATTCATGAAAAATAGATATATTATGTTAAAGCTGATGCTGTATGTTATAATTATATCAAGTTAACAAACTGAGCAGCATCTACACGTTCCATCAGTATCTATCCCAATGCAATATTATTCATAACAGTGTCCAGTTAAACATTTTAATCTTTTTTTTTATATATTTAAACATTTCATCACTATCTGCAACATCATTACTGCAACAAATACTTTTAAAACATTTTATTATTAGATGTTCAGTTAACTCTTAACATACTAATCACAGAACCATTCCTCCCCCCCCCCCAAAAAAAAGAGTTCAGACAGTAAATAACTCATTACATATTTCAGGGTGAGAAAGAACCTACAGTTGTCTTTTAACATAACTTGTTGTTCAGCAAGTAAATAGCTTGATGATGGATCATGAGAGAAAAGATTCAAAACAAAATTATTTTAAGTTCTGATATTTTAAAATTTCTGGATAAAATTATTTTGATGAAAAGTATTTTATTACCCTAGGACCTTTAACTGCATTTCATTTTCCAAGGACTTCCCAGTCCTGTAAATTAAAAAATTTACAGGACTTGCCAGCACCCACAAAAATCCTGACAATGTCACATACTTGTGAAACACTTTTAACTGAGTCTATTCTGTTAAATTTTCTAATAACTCGTGTTTTTAGTGTGAATTTCATTAACCTTTATTTCCCAGTAACCATAATACATATCTTACTTGTTCAAGTCCTCGAAGACACTGATCTGCAACATGTTCGAGACTACTCTGATTATCCTAATTAAAAAATAAAAATTAATGATAATAAAATATTCTTTCAAATTAATTGATGCTTTATATACAATTGGTTAAAAGTAAGCAGCATCAAGTTTTGTTACACTATCACTAAGTTTTATGTGCAAAAAAGTTACTGTACTACAAGGATGAAAATATGCAGAAAATAATATAAAAAGTAACAGATGTTGAGGGCCTCTCATAAACACTCAGAAATCAATTTCTCATAGGCAAGGTAGTTCATTGTATAAGGGTTCACAACCACCAACATATAATGTAATAGCTAGTATGTATGGAAAGCACCATAAGACCTCCAAGTTTGAAATTGCATAAAAAATTAAGTAAATGCCCACAGTGATGTAAAGATGAATTTCTCAAAGATAACTTTCAAGTACATGTTTGTAAATACTTTACGATAATTACATTTTACCATACTATACACCTGGAAAAAAGTTAAGCACCCCCAAATATTTTTCAGGATTGCTTATTGAAAATAAGGTTTAATTTTCATGATGTTGAGCAATGTTCATAATTTCAAACATAATTAAAAGGATGCGAG